GTGAGTGAGGAGTGAAAAGTGTGGTGTGTGCTTGGGGTGTGGGGGTCAGAACGCTCTAGTCGTTGAAAATTTCGAGTTGTTCTACCCCCCTTTTATGCTCCTCAGACATCCTTGTCTGACTCATTCGTTATCTTCTTGTCATGCCTGACAGTCATCGGCCCGTTCGTTTCTCCGAGTCATGTCGCTATTTTCGTCGTCGTTTCTCGGCTTGACAGTACAGTGCCATAAGCCGGAGTGCTTCTTGAGGCGGTCCAACTGCGCTTTTGTTGTTGCTGTGGAATTCCTTGACCAGTTCCATAGCATGTCCCATGCGCGATAAGGGTATCCATTCATTCTCTGAGTCAGGATAGCCCTTCCATTTCACGCAGTACGCATAGCCTCTTCCTTGGCGTCTTGATTTGGTGATCGTTTCTATCTCATATTCTTCTTGTCCGTCTATGAGATCCGGTGGCGGTTTCTGGTGTGACTCGCCATATTCTTTCGTCCGCGTGTACGGTGTCAGAAGCGATGCATGAAACACAGGATGTATCTTCCATGTCCTGGGTAGTTTCAGCTTGAATGCACCGGTTCCTACTTCGTCTTCTATCTTGAACGGCCCGAATCGCTTTGGTGCCAGCTTGGCTGTCGGGTAGTTATTCTTGAGGTTCTTCCCTTCTAGCCATACTTCGTCGCCTTTCTTGAAATGCGGTCCTATTATCCCGTGTATTGATTCTTTCAATTGAATCGAGTCAGCTGCTATCTTCATTGCTGCTTGTGCTTCTTGTCGTGCGTCGTTTATTTGCTTTATCCTGTCTTCTGCCGACTGCATATTGCCCTGTGCCCTGAAGGCTGTCGGCCATTCCGGTTTTCTGCCATTCAGTATTTCAAACGGCGACTTCTTCGTAATCGCATGTTCTTTGATGTTGTGTGACAGTTCCGCGTATGGTAGTAGCTCTACCCAATTGTTCTGGTTTCTGTTGCAGAACACCCGCAGGTATTGTTCCAGTTCTTGATTCAGTCTTTCGACCGCTCCATTCGTTTGAGGGTGGTATGCCGTGGATAACGCCGACCTGACTCCCATTCCGGTAAGTATACTCTTCATAACTCTTGATGCGAATTGCGGTCCCCTATCCGAGATGATCTTCTTGGATATTTCGCGTTGGCTGAATACTCTTCGCAGTATGATTTCCGCCGTTTCATCCGCATTTATCGTCTTCGTGCACGGTTCTACAATCATGCTCTTGGAGAGATGATCTGTGATAACACAGATTGAATCTTTCCCTTTGCATAACGGTAAATCCGTTACAAAGTCGATATTAATGGTGTGAAATGCGTACTCGGGTATCTCCGTCGGGTGTATCGGTTCCTTGGTCGGGTTGTTCCTGATTTTCGTTTCTTGACATATTGCACATCCGTCAACGTATTTCTTGACAAACGTCGACATCCCTGGCCACCAGTAGTTTCGTTGTACTAGTTCCATCGTCTTGTATCTTCCTGGGTGTCCTCCTATCTTCGAGTCGTGGTATTCCTTCACGATGTCTCGTCGTAATTCTTCGTCTTTCGGTATGTATACCTTTCCTCTGTAAAGGATTATACCGTCCTCGGTGTTCCATTCCTTCATGCCTTTTGCGAGGCTTTCCGATCCTGCGGCTTTGATCGTTTCTATCGCTTTCGTTACTTCTTCGTCATATTTGTCGTTTCTTCTGATGCGCTGTTCCCAGTCATCGTCTTCGTTCTTTATCCGTATTTTCCTGATGATCATCCGTTGCTTGTCATCGTGTTGTCTTCTTCCTATAAATCGTGCCTTGAACATCGTCGTCGGTAGGAGTATCACATCCTTGTTGTCATCTTCTACTCCTGTCTTGTGGTCTTCTCGTCTTGATAGTTCGTCGGCCTTGTTCGTCTTCCCGGGCTTGTGCACTAGTTCGAAGTCGAACCTAGTGAGAAACTGCGCCCATCGTGCTTGCCTCCTTGATAGTTTCTGCGATTTCTGAAAGTACTCCAAGTTCTTGTGGTCCGTCCATATTTCAATCTTGTACTTGCATCCCTCTAGGTAATGCCTCCATGCTTCCAGCGAATTGATTATCGCGAGCAGTTCCTTGTCGTGGACATCGTAATTTCGTTCCGTTGGTGTGAGCGATTTTGAAATGTATGCAACGGGGTGCCATAGGTCGTCATCCATCAGTTGAGAGAGGACTGCACCATAGGCATAATCCGACGCATCACATTCTATCCTCATCGGTCTGTCTGGGTCCGGCATAGCGAGCATTGGTGTCTTGATGAATTGGTTCTTCAATTCTTCAAATGCTTGCTGGCATTCCTCCGACCAATTCCATTCTTTATCCTTCTTGGTGAGTTCGTGTAGTGGTCTCGCGATCTTGGAAAATCCTTCGATGAATCGTCGGTAAAAGTTGCAGAATCCGAGAAACGCTTGTACTTGTTTCACCTTCTGCGGTACCGGCCAATCCATGATTCCCTTCACCTTGACAGGATCCATGGCGATGTGTCCTTGCTTGATGATAAGTCCGAGATACTCGATTTCTTCTTTCTCAAATTCGCACTTTTCGGGTTTAACGAAGAGATCGTTTTCTTGAAGTATCTTGAGGACCTTCTTCATCACTTCCTTGTGTTCGTCCTTTGTCTTCGTGAATACCAGAATATCGTCCAGGTATACCGCTACCACTCCTTGGTTAATCAGCGGTTCAAATAGTTCGTTCATCATTCGTTGGAATGTTGCTGGCGAGTTGCATAAACCGAAGTACATGACTAACGGTTCATACAACCCCTTCGGTGTTGAGAATGCGGCTTTCCATTGGTCTCCGTCCTTAATCAGGATGTTGTTGTATCCCCAGCGTAGGTCCAGCTTGGAATAGTACTTCGCATCCTTGAGTCGGTCTACCAATTCTTGAATCAATGGTAGTGGAAACGCATCCTTGACCGTGTGTTCGTTCAGGTATCGATAATCTTGTGTCGGCCGCAGTTTCCCGTCTTTCTTTCCTACAAAGAAGAACGGTGATGCTTGCGGTGATTTCGATGGCCGTATGTATCCTTTGTCCAGCTGTTCCTTGATCCAGTTGTCCAATTCATTCCGTTCCATGCCGAATAGCGGGTATGCCTTGGCCGATTTCGGTTTGAAGGATTCTTTCAGGTTTATCTCGTGGTCCCATGGTTTCGGTTTTGGGAATCGTTCCGATTTCTTCTTGTCAAAAACGTCGAGATATTCGTGGTATTCCGTGGGTATCATTTCTTCCGTAGTCTTCTCTTTCTTGTCCTTGCTTGCTTCCTGCGCCAATTTCTGCGCCATATTTGAGTACTTCCTGTCGTTTCGTTCCTGTAATTCT